GGCTGTGCTCATGTTTGGATAATTGACCAGTTGTTTTTTTTGTTTGTTTGTTTGTTTGTTTTTGCTTAATTTATCTGTCATTTTAAACAGTGTGACTGTGACACATTTAACCCCAAACTAAAACTGCCCAACACCTTCACACTCTTACTGAAACTTCACCAGCACTCACTGAAAGCTACATTTGTCAGGTGGCCCAAATTAGGAGCAAATCCTCCGAGCAGCAGTTTATGGATTCTTACAGGAAATCGCTGTAGCAGACCCAGAATGTGCTGAATCTGGCGCTGCTAATTAAATACATGTCCCAACTTCAGTTGCAGCTCCGCAGGAGCCGCTTAAACTCCTCTTCCTCGCAGCACCCCGATGACTCAAATTCAAAGGAACTGCTGACCACCCTTCCTCACCATCTTCCCATAAAGACCCATGTGTTTTTGTTCTCGTGCTTGTTACAGCAAAATGCTTTGGAGGGTGTGCTTTTTCTGTGCTAAAATAAGAGGTAACCACCATGATAATAAACAATAAAATATTGATACGTTAATAATAAATAAACAGAATTACACAAATCCCATTTTTACTTGTTTTCATTCATTCTTTTCTTTGTTACTGCTGTGTTGGTTTGCACTAGTTTTTGTGGGAAATGTGTTACGGGTTAAAGAAAGTACACTTTCCAAAGCGTTGAAGTGGAACGGTGTTATAGTGGTTAACGCTGTGACCTCACAGCAGGTTTGAACCCTGGCCTTTCTGAGTGGAGTCCTCCCTGAGCCTGCCAACTGTGAGTTTCCTCCCACAGTCCACAGATGAACATGTTGGTTTAATTGGTGATTCTAAATTGGCTGTGGATGAGGGTTAAATGAGGGGCTTGAAGTTTATAGGGTAAAGTAGGAATGTATGCCTAAATGTGACTTATTTAAGGCACGTTGAGTGGTCAATATAATGAACAGATGACCAATAACACATGACATATTACATGGCGTCATTGTTTATTTAGCAAAAATGCAGAAGCAGTGTGGGAAATACTGAGTACACCCTGTGATTCAATAGCTTGTAGAACCACATTTGGCAGTAATGACTTGAAGTAATCATTTTCTGTGTTACTTTATCAGTCTCTTACATAGTTGCGGAGGAATTTTGGCCCACTCTTGAGGTTTGTCACATTAATTTATGCACAGCTCTCTTTTAAGATCCCATCACAACATTTCAGTTGGGTTGAGCTCTGGACTTTGCAGCACCTTGATTCTTGTAGATTTGCTGCTGGGATCATGTGAAGGACCTAATTTCAGCCAAGCTTTATCTGTCAGACAGAGGAGTTCAAACCCAAATCCTCCCCCCTCCACCCCAAACACCTCATACCAACTGCTTGACATATCAGGTGTTTGTACTCATATGCTGTGTTTGGTTTTCTCCAACTCAAGGGTTGTGCATTATGGCTAAACATCTTCACTACTCTCTCCTCTGTCCAAAGGACATTGTCCCAAAAGTCTTTTGGTTTGTAGTTTTGCAAACCAAAAGACTTTAACATTTAACATCAGCCCTGTTGAGTCTGAGCTGTATAGCCTGCTATTTACTCTCTTAGTTGTAATCTGATGTGTTTGATATTTCCACATTGTTTCCGCATTTTGGCTTTGGTTTTGTTAAAGAAACCATGACAAGTTTTGGACTTGGTAACCGGAGATCGGCCCACCAGGGCCTGGCCACCGCTCAGCACACAACCGACCCCCACAGTGCCTTCTGTGGGTGGTGGGCCTGCAGGAGGTTGGGCCTATGTCACTTTTTCGTGCTATGCCCGGCTGGGCCCCATGGACTAAGGCTTGGCCCCCAGACACTCATCCCCAGGCACCCTCCCCGGGCCTGGCTTCAGGGCGAGGCCCTGGTAACCCTATCCCAGGCAGGGTGAACTGTTCCCTTAGTGTTCTACTCATAGAACACCAAGTGTTCTGAATCGCTCTTTGTCTGGTACCTGACCCAGGACCAGTTTGCCATGGGAGACCCTACCAGGGGGCAGAAGCCCCCCGGAAAACATAGCCCCTGGGATCCTTAGGACACACAAACCCCTCCACCAGGATAAAGTAGGGATTCGCGGAGGTGCTTTGGTGTTGCCCCAGACAAGCCGGAATAGGTGGGTGGGGAGAGAGAGGGTGGGTGTCTCTGCTTAGGCTGCTGCCCCTGCGACCTGGCTCTGGATAAGCAGAATAGGATGGATGGATAATGACAAGTTGTAATATGTCACATGTTGTTGTTCATGTGAGACTGTATATAACTACTTTTGGGAAAATGAATTTATGTGCAACTTTTACTCCATTCTATCAAATAGTTTTTCAGGTATTTCACGTGGACCAAAATGTTGACCCTCAAAGTGACACTGCCATCCCTCCGCAAATGCAAAAGATCAAATACACCATTTATACCTATGTATTCACTTTGCTCGATGTGGAAGCTAACTGCACGTTGCTGAAAGGCTTCACTCCGTTTTCTCCACATAGATTCAGAGTGCTGTGATCTCAAACTCTACCATGTCCAGTTCTGGCACAGGCTCAGTCCTTTTGGGGTCAATGCTGCATGAAAACAGTGAAACATGTTGTTTTTACCCCTCTGGAAGCTGCAAAAAGTAACCAGCTCAAATTCCGCCTCCTTTTGCCAAAAGCATATTAAGACCTCTTCCCTTATCAACTAAACGCTACCAGCAAAGGATTACATGGGAAAAGAGGATTACTGTCAGAGTCTTGCTTGAGTGGAGGCCTGATATTAGAAGATGCTATCTGGATGGAGAAAATGACTTCACCTTGGAAGCAGATAATCGCAGAGGAGGGAGACGGAAAATCTGTGTATGTGTGCGTGCCCATCTGACTTCCTTGCATCACATTACACGTCCATGTTTGCCTTTCTTTAAGGCTCTGTCTTTGTAGGCAGCAGCGTTTTTGTATAACGAAGCTTGAGGACAGCTCAGTTTCAGCTGCAGCAATGCATTCTGGGGACATTTGCCTCTTTTGACTGCAGCCCCTCTGAACTTTCTGTGGTTTTGCCTTGGAGAGTTTCCCCCAACACTGTTATGCAACATCCTAAACACTCCTCCGTTTATCACTCCCCTCACGCTGGTTTTGTCACTTGTTTTTCAGCTACATTTTTCTCTTATTTGTGCTGGACTAACATCACATATTTTCCTCTGCATGTCTCCTCCACCCACGGCTCCTCCTCTCACACACACACCCACCCACCCACCGCAGTTTCTAATTGGGATTCATTACCATTTCCTTTCAGTTTTTCCCAGCAGGACTCTCTGACCAGGAGGAACAGCTTTCACTGGTCACACATATACGAACATCACCGTCGTTGTCATCATCATCATCATCATCATCAGAAGCAGCAGAACTTCAAGACTTCAGTGCATCATCTGGTAAAGTTTTGATCCTTTCCTACAATTAAACAATGAAAGCTGCTTGTCAGTGCTTTCATTTCACAGCAAAAAGCTCTTTTTCTCCACATATTGCGTCATGTACTGCACAGCTATAACTATGAGAGAGAATTACGCAGTAAAAATGCTCAAGTATCAAAAGAAGAAGTACACAGCTGCTAAACAGTAGAATATAACACAGTTATTATGTTGCTGTGTTTACAGTACTGGATTATTATCACAGAAAGGAGGTTTTCTTTATGCCTCAGCTTTATTTAAATCATCACTGAATCTGAAGCTGTCTGACACTGTAGTACAGTAAAAATAAAACTATGACAATAACAATGGCAACATGCTGAAGGAGTATAACTAAAGTAACTAGAATTTGTGTCTACTGTCTCCACCTAGTTACAGTACTTCCCCCTACGAGAGAGTCATAATAAAACAGGCAGCTTTGCCTTTAACAGCCTGATACTGAGTTACAGTAAATGTGGATAATATCATCAAACTCCAGCTGGCCTGAAGGCAACGTGCCAGACTTTTTACCGAATGGCTGTGGTGCTGCAATAAAACCATTAAACTGCTCTGAAATGTTCATCTGAACCACCCAGGTAGCAAAACAAAAGTTTCCATCAGAGCTCCAGTGCAGTGAAGTGGATTGGATGAAAAGAAATGCTGATTGAATTTAAAAAAAGTACAAAAACAAGGCGGTTACAGTGCTGCTTTGGATAGTGTCTGCATGAAAAAAGGAAAAGATGGTAAGTCAGAGGACTGAGCGATCCTCTCCAGTGAACCTTGTGGTTCACATATTAGTGGCATATAAACAGCAGATTGAGTTTTTCGTGCTTTTATTGAAACCATAAATGTTTCTAATCATCTGAGGGCTACTGAGGAGTGGCTACAGACATCTGCTCAGACTCTCCATTATTTGTTCTCATGTCTGCTCTCTATTTCTGCCAAGAATGCAGAAATGTAACTCATGTAACTCAGTATCCCTCCTCCTCCAATTCTTTTTCTTTCTTTCTTTCTTTTTTTACAGTTTCTCTCTCTTGACTTTCTGCTTTTATCCAACCTCATCTTTCTGCCCCCTTCTCTCTGTTCCTGCAGCTGTTGTGGAGGTAACTTCCCATTAGGAGACCAACAAGACCCGACTTTTCTCATTATTGTCACACACCGCAAACAGCAGGTTTTCATTACTAAACCTGCTTTCAGACAGCTGTTAGCTTTCCTCCGCCTCCTGCTCTCAGGCAGAGGATCCAACAGTGCAGCTTTTTATCTCCTCTTCTTCTTTGATTGGATCCTGGATGAGAGAAAACCTGGCAGGAAAAGAAAGATAAAGCCTTTGAAGTGCTGCAGGACAAATATATATATATATATATTTAAATTCCACACTTTATACAGAGTAGGTAGCAGAAATTAGCACTTTGATAACCTGAGTATCTGGGCAGAGTCGTCTGAGGGCCGAGGCCGCTTGTGTTCAGGGACGGGCAGGAAGCAGAGGGAGAGAAAGAGAGAATTTGAGTGTTAGGTGTGACCGTAAGTCATTTCTGAGTAGGCCAGCTGGTATTCAGCGTGTCAACAAACTTTTATATGAAACATCTGTTTAGAATATTAGTGTTTTGATTTGTAGAGCTCACTAATCTTTGCTAAACGAGTAGTTGAAGATTTTTTTTCCACCTCCTGAGCTGGAAATTGTCTATGATGCCTATCATATTACAGTCTGTGTGTCATACAAACGACCTGTTTAGAAATGACCGTTGCTGTAAATCTGTAAACTAGGCTGTTATGTAAATGCAAAGAGTCAAAGAGTTAAAATTACTTCCCTCTGGTCCGGTCTAATCTCCCTGCACCCTGCATGCTCATGTGGCTTTTTTGCACTGTATACATAAACATGCTCAATTAAGTGTTTTAATATTTTGTTATACAGCTGCCACTCTGTTTTCTGTTGTACATATGAGAACAAAACAAAAAAAATGTACTTTCTGATCAAACATGATATTTAGTTTGTTTGATAATCAGGTCCAACTAATCCCAAAGGGATTATTTTTATGATTGGAGCCCTGCCTGAAGGGCATTCAGTGAAGCCCTCACCATCTTTACTCTAAATCTAAGACGCTGACATGTTGTCCATAAATCAAACTGTGAGGTGGTGAGTTGCAAAATATTATACTTTTTAACAAAAGCCCCTGTTTTGCATTATTGTTTATAATACTCAAGGTCAAAAAGATTTCATTGCATTATATTGTTATTGAAGAAGATAGGGTGAAATAAGTTTGGAGCATGTAAATTATGTGTTCTATAGAGATATTCATGGCAACCTGATGTCTTTTACTTTTCCTCTGTTTACAATTTGTTTTGTTGTTATTTGAGTTTTGTGACTGATATAAAACTGTCAATCAATCAGTTAGGTTGAGTTTTAAACGAGAGCTTCCGCTCAGTAGAGGATGAGACTGTTTGAATCTACTTGACAGATTTCTGGAGCTCTCTGTCAGAGCCTGTCTGACGAAAAAACTAATACATTTTTACTGTAAGGGCATAAATCGTGTGTAAATCACCCATTTGGTGTTTATGTATGCTGCAGTTTCCAGAAATTACATGCGCTCTTCATCCCTCTGTTATTTTCATAATGTTTTGTTTTATTTTAGTGGGAGTTGTGGTTTTCTTTTGTTTAGTCAGGTCAATATTTCCCATTGTCTGTAATGCAGTGTTACTCGTCCACAGACCTGTTTGTGCTTGTTCATCTGTTTTTTTTTCCATTTCTCGTTTTCTCTCAGCCTTAAGACTGCAATGACCTCACTCAGACTCTTGTCCCTGTTCCCCTCCCTCCTCGTCCTACAAGTCCATCTTTCCAACCAGTTAGAGGACAATAAGATCCCCCCCAGTCTGTGTACTGGCCACCCTGGTATCCCAGGCTCTCCTGGGGTTCATGGCAGTCCTGGTCAGCCAGGGAGAGACGGGAGGGATGGGAGGGATGCTGCTCCTGGGGAAAAGGGGGATAAAGGGGAGAGAGGGGGCCCAGGTACGTACTTATATGGATTTGTGTGTGAGCATGTGATAAATCGGTGCAGGATTCTCATATTTGTGCACCTCCTCCTCCTCTCCAGGTGAGACAGGAGTGCGAGGCCTGACTGGAGACAGGGGTGACCCTGGAGAAAAGGGGGAAAGGGGGCAGCCGGGCGAGTGTGCAGTGGCTCCTAAATCCGCCTTCAGTGTCAAACTCTCTCAGGGCCAAACCTCGCCCCTGAATGTGGGTGACGCAGTCCGCTTTGACACCATCCTGATCAATGAACAGGGCGACTACAACTCAGAGACGGGACGCTTCACCTGCAAAGTCCCTGGAGTCTACTACTTTGCTGTCCACGCCACGGTGTACCGCGCCAGCCTGCAGTTCGACCTGATGAAGAACGGACACGCTGTGGCTTCTTATTTTCAGTTTTATGGCAACTGGCCTAAACCGGCATCTCTTTCAGGCGGCTCCCTGCTTCACCTCATCCCTGGCGATCAGGTGTGGGTGCAGATGGCTCTCTCAGAGTACAATGGATTTTACTCCAGCACCAAGACAGACAGCAGCTTCACAGGCTTCTTGGTGTACTCGGACTGGAAAAACTCTGCTGTGTTTGCCTGACATGTGCCGCTTTTATTTCCTTACTGAGACATTCTGGACAGACAAGTGAATCATCCGTGACACGATACAGCTGTATTTGTGTAATAAATAAAGAACACACCAGGCAATGTAACCCGAATAGCACATGGTGTACTGAGGCGCACACAATGAACGGTACAGTTTACTCTGTGTCTGTTCTGCACTTTCAGCTTTTAAACTGCTGACAGTTAATTCTTCTAACAGATGTCAGGCCACAAATCCTCAAACAGCCTTTATGCCACTGTTCTATTGCATTTTGTTTTAGTGTCTACAGCTCTAATGTGAGACATTAATAAAATTTTAGACTTTTGAAAACACACTAGACTGAAGTCTGTCTCTGACCATGAATGAAAGTGGATCAGGCATTAGGCTGGAGCTGCACAGTTAACGCCAAACAGGAAAGTCGAGACTCTTTCTGATAATATCCCTGCCTGATTTTAAGAGGGAAAAGAACTCAAATACTTCACTGAAGACAAAGTGCAAATGGAAAACAGTAAAAATACCCCTGATACTGATATTTGAAAAAAGCAATGCACGAGAATGATTTGAAAAATATACTTTTATAAATGTGTTAAAAGCCCTCGTTCTGCTGTGGATGTAATCTAGTGTAAGATAATAGGGCTGGTAATAATGATAAATGAATGGAAAATCTGGAACCTGTTTTAACTACTTTATATACAGTCTATTCCCACATTATTAGTTGCAAATAAATGTATGAGGTTGTGAGATGTTTCAAGAAGGTCAAAAATACAAAATAAAAGTTTTTTGGGTTTAGTATTCTTAACACAAGTAAACACAAAATGCTGTTTGAAAATGAAGATGTTTATTATAAAGAGGGGGAAAAAATTCAGACCATCATGGCCCTGCGTGAAAAAGTGATTGCCCCCTAAACCTAATGACTGGTTGGGCCACTCTTAGCAGCAACAACTGCAATCAAGCATTTGTCATAGCCGGCAGTGAGTGTTTTTCAGCGCTGTGAATTTTGAGCCACTCATCTTTGTAGAGTTATGGTAATACAGCCACTTTAGAGGGTTTTCGAGCATTAACCGCATTTTTAAGGTCATGCCACAGCATCTCAGTCGGATTCAGGTCAGGACTTTGACTAGGTCATAAGTCAAAGTTTTCATTTTGATTTTCATAAGCCATTCAGAGGTGAACTTGCTGGTGTGTTTTGACTCAATGTCCTGCTGCAGAACTCAAGTGCGCTTCAGTTTGAGGTCACAAACAGACAGCTGGACACTCTCCATCAGGATGTTTTAGTAGACAGCAGAATTTATGGTTGCATTTACCACAGCAAGTCTTCCAGGTCCTGAGGCAGCAAAACAGCTCCAGAACATCACACTAACACCACCATATTTTACTGTTGTTATGATG